AATGCAGGTGGTTTTGGGACAAATGTGATCCGCAGATGTGTTTTGTTTGGCTAGAGAGGAGTTTCTAACTTTTAATGTTTTTGGTACCAGGGATTGAACCCAGGGTCTTTGTGCATGCTAGCAGGTGCTCTCCCACCTGCTACATCCCAGTCCCCTGTGTATTAGTCAGTTCTTATTGCTGGGACTAAATGCCTGAAAGAAACAACTTAGTGTAGTAAAGATTTATTTTGGCTCATGGTTTCAGAGGGTTCAGTCTGTGGTCACTTGGCCCCAGGTGCTGGGGGAAAACATGGCAGCGGGAAGGAGGGTGTGGCAGAAGAGGTCCTTCACCTCATGGCAGATAGGAAGAGAGAGGAGAGAGAGGAGGGGACTAGGGACCAGATATAACCATCAAAGAGACACCCCAGTGACCTACTTCCTCCTGCAAGGCCCCATCTTCTTAAGTTTCTAGATTCCCAAAATAGTGCCTACAAGCTGGCAGTTCTGTTAGATGATTCACAAAAATGCCCATCCCACGGTAGAAATCTTTATTAACATTTTTACATTTTTATTACAAAATCCATTGCAACACTTAAACATTGGGAGATGTCATGTATTTTCTTCAATCTAGATTCTTGGTCACTCATGGAAGCCATTGCCTGGATCTGAGTAAGGACTGCTGCTCCAGGCAAGGCATGTGCTCTGCAGTTGGTCATATCTGTGGTCTCACTCGCATCTGCCTGGTCTCTGTAGTCCTTTGAGCTTGAGACCCTGGCCTAGACTTTTGAACACGAAGCCTTTTGATATCCCAACCTCAAACACAAAAAGTTGTTAACTTGAGGTCAGGGGAGTCCCAAACTCAAGCACTTCAGATTCAGCTGCTCTTTGCAGGTGTGTGTATTTGGGGTGACAGTGATAAACATCCTCTACCAATGAATGTAACAGAAAAAGGCCAGCAACTTGACTCTTCACAACTCATGCATATCTCATATGAATATTTACCACTGATTTTAATTTAGCTTCACGGTATGCCCCCTTTTTTTTTTTTTTTTTTTTTTTTGGTACTGGAGATTGAACCCAGGACCTCGTGGCAAGTACTTTCTCACTTGAAGATGTGTCATTTTTTTAAAACAATTTACCAGGTTGCCAGTATTGGTAAAGGGCCTTATAAATAGCACCTCGTTGAATTCCTCTCCCCTTCCCTACGGGGGTTAAACAGTGCGCGGGAATCTAATGTCCCCGCAGCCAGGGAGGGGAGTGGGGGGAGTGATCACGGACGCATGCAGCTGGCAATGCAGCTTAAATGCAGAAGGGAAGCAGGTGCAAGCCTGAGGCGGTAGAAGTACCCTGGACTCTGGACCTTCAGCTCTCCAACAGTCCCGCGTGTGTGCGGGGTGGCCACGGTAGGCCCAGTTGAGGTTACCGCACCCAGTTGCTTCTCTCTGTGGTTCACTCACAGCTTTTTCTTGCTCGTCCGTTTCCTCGGTCCCTTCCGGAATCTCCCTTTCAATTTACTTTAGCCTCTTCCAGCTCCTCACAGCATCCTCTGCCCACCTGGCCCTCTTTCTGCCACCACGTGACCCGCGCGTAAATCACCGGATTCTTCCCTCCTCAGCTGCCCGCCCGCGGGCGACCAGCTCTGCAGAGGCTGCAAGTCGCGCATGCGCAGTTGCAGGCGCACCTGCCGCGCCGGCCTGCGGGGGCCGCGGACCAGCGCTGCGCATCCTGCGGCTGCAGCCACGCGGGTCAGTGAACCGTGAGCCCGTCTGGGCCCAAACTCCCGAGAGGTTTAGGCTCTCCTTGAGGATACTTTCCCAGCAAGGTGATCACACAGCCAAACCTCTCCTTAGGTCTGGCCCCTGGGGCTGCGCCTTGGGCTCAGATTCTCCCCTGAGCATCAGGAAGTCAGAGTGCGGGTCCAGGCACGAGTGCGTATGACCTTAGGCAGGTGGCTGAGCTCCTTTCGGCCCAGGAGAATGATAATAATAGCATCGACCTGAAGTGAGAATTCCTGAGAGCTCCTTGGGCGGTGCCAGGCGTGTATCAAACTCTCAGCCAACATAAATACAGACCACAAAGACTGGCATTGTGTCATGGTTGCAGGGAGACCCTTTCCTGTGGTCACCAAACTGGCTTCTCAGAACCACTCTGCAAAGAGGCCTGCAAGTTTTATTGTCCCTTTTCACACGTGGGGAAACTAAAGCTCAGAGTTGTCAAGAAGTCTTGAACTAGGTCTTGGATTCCACATCCAGAGTGACAACTTGATACTCCAAAGTCAGGGGTTCTTGATGAGTTCACAGTCTGTCACCCCACTAGCTTTTTGAACATCTGCTCTGATTTTTTGCCAGAGAACATCTCAGTTACACATCCGCAGGAAGCCTTTTCTTTTTTTGTCCTTCCTTCTGCAGAAAATAAGGAGCTGCTATATTTTATTTGCTGAAACCTTTGAGGAGTTCTCTTTGAATAGATCCCAGGCCATCCAGAAGTCCTAGAGTCCCTGCAGCCAGGCCCAGAATGGGGGCTCTCCCTCCCACTCTGCCCTCAGGCTTTCTCTCTGTTAAGTCACATTGGCTTGTATCTGTTCCTGGAAGAGCCACATTCCTTTCTGCCTCTGGATTTTTGCACCTACTGTATGTTTGGCAGGACACTCTCACATTCCCTCCTGCAACTTTTGTTGTTGTTGTTTTCTTTCAGTGCAGGGAATTGAACTTAGGGCCTGGCAAAAGCTAGGCAGCACTCTACCCACTGGGCTACACCCACAGACCTATCCTGCTATCTGTTTTTTGGCTCAGGAAGCCTGCTCTGGCTGTAATCCAGTCAGTCCACTGCATCAGGTAACCTGTCACTTACTTTCACAGCCACCTTCTCCTGCCTCAGCACTTTCCAGAATGGTGACTCGATGCTGTGCATGACTCCTGGCTACCATCTGTCTCCTCAGCTTGAACGCCAGCTCCTTGAAGGAATCATTCCTTACCCACAGCACATGGCCGGGACCTTGATGATACTCAGTAAATCCTTGTTGATCCACTGACTGGAGGAGTGGCAAGAGGAGCCCTTGCCATCCCTATTTCTTAACCACTAAGGGGTTTTCCAGCTTTTAATTTATATTTTCATGGTAAGTGCAGAAGCTGTGGAGTCTCTGTTGACACATGCCAGCTGGGTAAGGATGGATCATGTGGGATCACAATGCATCCTAGGTCCCCTTGAGTTTACAAACTACCTCCTCCTTCCCCAATGTACCCAGAAGCTATTGATATGTTCTGTGGACAAAGGCAGGACCAAGACATGAAAAGATGACACATTTTCACCTTCTCTCTTTGAAACCATGTACAAAGGTTCTTTTGGGGTGGATTGGGGTGGAGGTGAGATGGTAAAATTTGCTTGTCTTGGGCTGGTGGCTTGAATGAGGACATGTAGTCTCTTGTTTAGGCTCTGCCACCATTTACTCCATGACCTGAGAAAATTCCTCCTTAGGACTCAGCTTCATTTCTTCCTTCCTTCCTTCTTTCCTTTCTCTCTCTCTCTCTCTTTCTCTCTTTCCCTCTCTCTCCCCTTCCTTCCTTCCTCTCTTTCTTCTCCTTCTTGTGGTACTGGAGATCAAACTCAGAGCCTTACACTTCCTAGGCAAGTGCTTTACCACCTGAGCCTAACCCTCAAGTCTCAGCTTCTTTTCTTGTAGTTTAATATAAAATGGTTCAGAATTCAGATTCTAGAATTAGATCATTCCTTGTCACTTACTGCCAAAGCACTTATCCTCTCTGAATCTCAGTTTCCTCATCTGTAAAATATTATTGTATTCCTTAATAATATGAAGAAAAGGACCCAGCTCATATGATTGATTTTACTACTACTAGCTTCCGTGTACTTTTTGGTTTGTAATTGTCTCAACTTGTTTCTTTTTCTTTTTGTTTCTTTTATTCATATGTGCATACAATGTTTGGGTCATTTCTCCCCCACACTCCCCCCCCCCGCCCCCGTTCGTTTTTCTTTGAACCCAGAAGTGAGTCGTATTCTGTTTTTGTCTTTTTTCAGTGCCAGGATTCAAACCAGAGGTTTTCTGCATGCTAGGCAAGCAGTCTACCTCTGAGGTCTTGTTCCATATTTTGAAAGCAATGTTCCTCATCAACTAAGCAACTCTAGTGAAAACTGCACCATTTTGATAAAGGTGAACTCCAGGAAGAGGAGTCCAGAGTGCTGAGTCCAGAGTTGAGTCTACACCATATTCCTATTGGATTTGGGACTTAGATACCTCTGGACCCCAGACTAGGATGTATACTGTGCCCAGAATGGAAGCTTACACACAGCAATGGGAGAACAATAAATATTTGTTAACAAGTGATAGATGCACATCCAAACCTCAAGTCTTATGCTTTTTCCAATATCTGAGTCTGTTTTTCTTTTTTTCTTAATCTGAAAATGGAGCAATGCCCAATTATTGTGAGGATTTAATGAGATGATGCCTGTAAAGCGCTTAACACATAATATGAGCTCAGTGAATTGTGGACCTAGAGAGAGAGAGAGAGAGAGAGAGAGAGAGAGGGAGAGGGAGAGAGGGAGAGAGGGAGAGGGAGAGGGAGAGAGGGGAGAGAGAGAGAGAGAGAGAGAGAGAGAGAGAGAGAGAGAGAGCGCGAGCGAGCTGGTACCCATGTAATGTTGTAGCCGGGAGTGAGTACTACTAACAGATCTGGTCTCAGGGTTCCTTCCGCGGGTTCCCAGAAGGAGGAAAGACGGGATCATAGCTGGGTTTTCGGGAGATTTCTGTAACCAGGGATGCGAGTGCAGTGTTGGTAGACGGGAATTTAGGACCCTGCACTCCGGGCGCGCGCGGATGCTCGGCCGCGCGCGGCGCGTGAGGTGAGGGGGAGGGCGCGGCTCCCACACCAGCCAGCTACCGCCCCGCGGCCCGCCGCATCCCAGGGGGCGGGGCCGAGCACCGGGCCGCGATTCAATTGGCGGAGGCGCGCGGGTGACGCTGACGGCAGGCGCGAGGCCCCGCCCCTGACGGTCCCGCCCCCCGTCCCCCCTCTCGCACCAGCGGCTTCTCAGCCTCACTCTGGCCCGCGCCGCGCCCCCGCGCCAAGTCCGCCCGTCAGTCGGTCGGAGAGCGGCTGCGGGGCGGCGGGCTGCGGACAGGCGAGCGCGCCAGCCGGGGGACGAGCTGGTGTCTGCTGGCGTCGGTGAGGAAGGTCGGAGCCCAGAGACTCGCCCAAAACCATGGCCCCCATTGGCCTCAAAGCCGTGGTCGGAGAGAGTAAGTAGAGTCAGAGTCTTCCCGCAGGCGCGGGCTGCGGTTGCCCAGGGGGAGCCGGGCGCGGTGCCTGGCCGCAGCGCCCCGGGCTCCACGACTGGCTGCTGGCCCGCCTGGCCTGGGGCTCCTGGTCACCAGGGCCCCGTTATTCTGGTGCCTCCCTCCAGGGAGAGAAGTGCTTCCCGGCCTCCTGCGGCCCGGCAGGCTCTTTCTGCTTTCCCTTCCCGCAAACCTCTCTGTTCCTCACGCTTCACCCTGGAGCTGCGGTCTTCACCCTAGCCCTCCTCCTCCACCCTGTATGCCTCCTTCCTCGCCATCCGCCTTCACCTCCATCCCTCGCTCCATCCCTCCCTCTTCCCCATCTTCTCCTAATCCCTCCTCCTCCATCCCGTATCTCCATCCACATCCCTCTTTCCTTTTTACTTCCATCCTCGTTCACCTTCATCACTCCATCTCTCTTCCTCCCCTTCATCCCATTCCCTCTTCCTCCCTCTTTGCCGCAGATCCCATCCCTCCCTCCCTCCCTCCGCCCTTACTCCTCCAGCCCACGGCCCAGCTCTGCAGCATCACCCCATGCACCCCAGTGCTTCACCCTCATTGCCTTCCCTCCATATCCTTTATTTCCCCGATCTCGCCGAGTCCACTCCTTTTTCCATCTCCAGTCCTCCCTCATTCCCACCCTCCCTGGTGAATCGTGACGAGCGAAATCCTGGCGGTCCCGGCGTCCTCTTGGCCGCCCTCCCCCTCCGGGAGCCGAGCCACGGTCCCCGGCTGCCGAGACCCACCTGGGAGCGGCTCGGCGCGCGCCGCCCGGGCGCCTCCTGCCAGCTGGGGAGGAGACGCCTGTTTTCCAAAGGCTTGAGCAGGGCTGGGCTGAGGCCGCCAGGCTCTCTCCTCCTCCCTCCCACGAGCTTGGCTGCGTGGGCGGGGTCTCAGCAGGGTCGCGAACCCTCTTAAATCACTCTGGAGCCGGGGAAAAGCTCCAGTGCGCGGCGGCCGCGGTGGCCCTGCCCTGCACCGCAGTCTGCAGTCTTCGGGCTTCAGGACTCAGCCCTGGCCTGGCTTGGCTTGGCTTGGCTTGGCTGGTCGTCCCCCGCAGCTCCGATCGCTGCTGCAGGGAGGAAAGCGTTGTTTATGGGCTCGGATTTTCAAAGATGAGGGGTGGTGAGCTGCACCGGGAGTGAGGGCTGATGGTGCATAGGATTTGGAAAACGGTGTTCTCAGTGGTAAAGAAGATGGGGATCTGTAGAAAAAGCGGCTGTTCAATATTTTGGCATTTTTCTTACAACAAAGAAATGTGGGAAGACGACTGTGGCTTTTGCTACCTCTTTTGAGATTGAGAAAATTAGAACCGTCTTTTGTTTTTTGGTTTTTTTTTTCCTATAGGAGAGGTTAAAGGAAAAAATAAAATGGTGGAAACTTATGTACAGCTTCCTTTCCAGTGATCCTTTCCTATTATAGCGCGCTCTCTTTCCCTCTCCTCTCTCTCTTTCCCTCCCCCTCTCTCCTTTTTCCTCCCTCTCTCCCCCCTCTCTCCTTGCAGTGGAATGCCTTTTGCTGTGTAGTCTGTTCTAAGCATCATAACAGAAGTGGGTTTTCCCTCCTTATTCTTTTCTTTGGCATATGAGAGATATTCCTACTGAGGAGTCTTTGCGCCACAACCTTACCTGAACACCAGAAGAAAATTGTTCTAAAATCTGAACATTAAAAAAATACTCCCTATAAACACGCCTGTGACCCATGCTGTTACATGAGCTGTTTTCTGAGAATTTCTGAGGTTGAGGGGATTCATAGGGAATCTTTTAATGTCAACATTTTTGATTTACCCATGGAAAAGAAATGGGTGCTTGGAGCTGTTAAATGACTTGCTAAAGTCAGCGTTAATTAAAATGTAAAAACCTGGTGTCCATTTCCTTGCAACTTTAGTAAAAAATAACTTTCTTCATTATTCAGTGTATTCAATTTCTTTAATGCTCTTTTAAGGGATATGAAGCAAGGAATGGAATGCTGCATGCTACATTCTTTCAAGTGTCAAATTATAATGCTATATTTTGAAGATAATCAGGGTCCCTTGTTTTGCAGGTGACTCCCTACTCCTCCTCCCTTGCCTTTTTTTAGAAGCAAGCATCGTAAAGAAAAAAAAAAAGTCAATGCAATATGGCCAGAATTTCTGAAATAAGGCCAATCCACTGTGCACAAAAATAAAACCACAGCAGTATTACATAAAATTGGTGAATGTGTGAACAGAGTTCTATAACAATTGAGTTAGGTGTAAATTTTGGGAAAATGTATTATTGCAATGTTTGTCAGTGACACAGTTAATACTGACTTCTAATTTTAGATGGGGTTTCTAGCATTGTCTTTTTCTCTAAAAATAAAAGTGAAGTAAAGATATTTTCTAACCACTGTGCACCAGTTTAAATGTCTGCTCTCCCCAATCTAGATCAGCATCTCATATTCACTGTCATCCTAGCTTTTCATGCTAAATGAAAATGTTTATTTTCTTTATATCAAGTAAAGAGATCCAAAGTGATCTTGTTCCTTTGGGGTGGAGGCAGAGAATGTGTTTGATTGATCCTACTTCCACTACCACAGTGTCCTCTGATGGGTCTGGTGCCAAGAACACAGGCTGGCTCACAGTGGGCAGTTCATAAATATTTGTTGAATGAATACATGTTATTTAAGGCATGAAGGAGAGCAAAAATAAATAGTTTTAGACTCCTTATCATCTCTCTCTTTAAACTCTGCCTCCTACTGGGGCTCTAACCCATGGCCTCTGGCATGAGTTGTATTACTGAGCCACACCCCCCCAGAATCCTCATTTCCCCTTCTGAATTGAGCTGTAATGGAATGGTGGGTAGCTCCAGGTACAACAAAACTAGAGGAGATGGGTGAACTTAAGTATTCATTCAATAAGCATTTGTTCAGAGCTGACAGCTGAGAGACCATTCTGGGAAATTTTCCTTGTCACTTCCCAACCCACTTAGGAAATAGTGTATTGTACTTACTTGTGTTGGTCTTACCCAACTAGATTGTAAGTTTCTTCAGGGGGTGGTAGGACCTTGCCTTATTCTTATGTCTATCCTCTGTGCATGAGTTAGTGCCTGGCACCCGGGTACTGTTAAATGAGTGACTTGAAAGTGTAATGATTAGGATATGGGCTCTGGAATTAGACTTCCTGGGATAAAATTCAGACCCATTTTTGTGCCTCAATCCTTTCATCTATAAAGTGGGTAATAAGAGCACCTGTCTTACAGAGTTTATGAGTGTTAAATGAGGGAACGAAGGTATACATTTAGCATAGTTCTTGGCAGACAGTAAATTCAATAAGTATTATCATTATAATAACACCCAGGGAGAGTCAAGAAAGGGGATAAGGGATCAAGTGTGGTGGTAATCCTAGCACTTAGAAGGTTGAGGCTGGAGGATCAGGAATTCCAGGCTAGCCTGGGCTCCGGAGTAAGATCCTGTCTCAAAACACCAAAAATAAATAAATGAAAAATGTTAAAGGAGTCAAGGAAGCATTAGCCCCCCTCTACTTTGCTATGATTGTGAAAAAGTAGAGGGGGTAAAACTTTTTTTTCTTTTTTCTTTTTTTTTTGGCAGTACTGGGGTTTGAACTCAGGGCCTCAAGCTTGCTAAACTGTTGTCCTACCACTTGAACCAGTCAACCCTTTTTTGTGCTGAGTGTTTTCGAGATGGGGTCTCTCATATCCTCAGGCTGGCTTCAAACTGATCCTCCTCATCTCTGCCTCCTGAGTAGCTAGGATTATAGGTGTGAGCCACTGGTGCCAACTAGTGAGTAAAGTTCTTGAAGGAGGTACAAATGAATTTGAAAATGGAGAACCAAATAAAACATAGGGACAGAGCCTGATATGGTGGTGTGCACACCTGTAATTCCAGTACTTGAGAAGCTAACACAGGAGAATCTCAAGTTTGAGGCCAGCCTAAGCCACATAGCCAAGACCCTGTCTTAACAAAAAAAAATCTCTTTTTACATGAGGCCATGACTCACAGATATGTTGTAAGTTGAGAAGTCAATTAGATTGATGTAATCTTCATTTATTCTTAGACCTTTTTAAATGTTAGAAACCTTTGACTAATGTACAGATAACAAATGTATGTTGAGATATATGAAATACTTGTTGATGCTGTCAATTTTAAAAATTAAGGCATAGTTTACATCCAGAAACATTCACTCTAAAAAAGGGCAAATTCACTGAAAAGTGACAATTTTTCAAATTTCAGCTGTTATATACAATCATGTAGCTCCCACCATAATCAAAATAGAGAATAGTACTCCCCACCTAGAATAGCACCCCCCTACCTAGGATTACAGTTGTGAGCAACTAGCACCAGCTCTTTTGGCATACATTTTTAATTGGAGTAGCTGTTTTCCTGTACTATTGAGTTTTGAGAGGTCTTTAACTATTCACCAGATATGTGATTTGCACATATTTCAGTCTGCGAGTTGTTTTTACATTCTCAGTGTGTTTCAAACAGCAGATGTAATTAATTTTGTGTGTGTGGAGTGGGGGACAGTACTGGATTTGAATTGAGGGCCTTATACTCGGTAGGCAGGTGCTCTTTCACAACAGCCATGCCCCCAACCCTTTTTTGCTTTAGTTGTTTTTCAAGTAGAGTCTTACATTTTTGCCTGGGACTGGCCTCAGACTTCGATCCTTTATCCTCCTAAGGATCCTCTTATCTAAGGGCCCTTGCTGGGACCACAGGTGTGTGCCACCAGGCCTGGCTTATTGGTTGAGATTAGGTCTTGCTAATTTTTGTCCTGGCAGACCTCCAATCACGATCCTTCTGACCTCTGCCTCCGGTGTAGCTTGGATTACAGGTGTGAGCCACCATGCCCAGCAGAAGTTCTTTTTTTTCTTTTTTTTTTTTTTGCGGTACTGGGGCTTGAACTCAGGGCCTACACCTTGAGCCACTCCACCAGCCCTTTTTGTATTAGGTATTTTTGAGATAGGATCTCTCAAACTATTTGCTGG